TATCGATTTTGCTATAGATTTTTTTGTTGATATTTTTGTAGATTGTGATGTCGATATTTTAATCGATTTTGTGATCGATATTTTTATCGGTTTTGTTATCAATATTTTTATTGATTGTGTTAATTTGATTTCGCTATCGATATTATCATCGCTTTGTTATCGATATTTTTATCGATTTTGTTATCGATATTGTTACTGATTTTGCTATCGATATTCTCGGAACTTATCGATATAATGATCGATTTTGTTATCGGTTGTTTAATCGATTTTGCTATCGATTTTCCTCTGATATTATTATCGATTTTGTTATCAATTTTGTAATCGATATATTTATCGATTTTGTTGTCGATATTTTTATCGATTTTGTCAACAATATTTTTACGGGTTTTGTTACAGATATTAGAGATATTTGTATCGATTTTGCTATCGATATTGTTATCGATATATTTATCGGTGTTATTATCTATTTTGTTATCGATATCGATTTTGTTATCGACTTTCTAATCGATTTTGTTATCGACTTTGTTATCGATTTTTTGATAGATTTTGTAATCCAATTTGTTATCGAATTTGTAATCGATTTAGTTATAGATATTTTTATCGACTTTGTTATCGATATTTTTATCGATATTTTTATCGATTTTGTTATCGATATTTTTATCGATTTTGTTATCGATATTTCTATTGATTTTATTATCGATTTTGATATCGACATTTTCATCGAATTTTTTATCGATTTTGCTATAGATATTATTATCGCTTTAGTTATCGATATTTTTTTCTTAGTGTGTGCTTTCGTTTTTGACTTGGATATGCTCTTAACTATAAGTACTAGTCTAAGAGCCCATCAAACTAAACCGAGTAGAGTAGGCGTCCCAGAGGCCATACATATATTTGAAGACGTCATGCATGGGGGAACACGAAATGGGCCTGCTGCCTAGCCTACGGCCATTCAGGGCCAAAAAAAAAAATAAAACCAAATTTTTTTTGGGGATTCCAGTATGTCAGGAGTCCCGTATTACGATAATATTCCTCGAGACAGGGGACGGATTGGACAATACAAATAGGTAGTGCTGCAAGCCCCCCTGATTTATCGTATCAGTTGCTGCAGCGAGATAAGCGACGCCTCGCCTATAGGATCCGAGTATCATCGAAGTCCTCAAAAACCATCTGAAAGCGCATCAAATTCTGTGTAAGAAAAACCACTGCTACATTTTCCAAACAGTGGTGGACATGGCTGCTGCAGCATTTGAAAGACGCCCTCCTTGTCCAGTCATTCACCTCGCAAAAATTAATTCTCGAATTTTTTATGGGTCTTACGCCCTCGGCTGGATCAGTCTCTGTGTAAATGGCGTGTAAGTGGCGACCAAATCCAGCGATTGCGCATGTCCGAATTCTGTTCTTTTTTTCGAAAAAATGGTTTTCATTGAATAACTTGGCCATTTTTAATTTTTAAGAAAAATCATTAGAACAAAAGTTGTAGGAAATTCAACTCTATACAAGTTTGGTCCTTATAATTTTTCTTCTAAATTTGATAGTTTTCGAAATAAACTTGAAACAAGCGGTAATCTCAAAATATTGCATTATATCTCGTTCATTTTCAAATCTACGGCATAAATAAGTATCTAAGGTCAGACTTGAAGAAAATCAAATTTTTTACAACTTTGGCCCCACAATTTTTCTTCTAAGACCGATATTTTTTGATAGGGACAGATAATGCGTTGGCAATAACTCAATAGAACATAAGATGGAATGCTATCGAAAGAAAGAAATATTTTGGTAATTAAATTTTTTTAATTTCGATTATCATACGTACGATGTACCTAGTGAACTTAAATTCCTTTTCTTAGAATCATCTTTGTCTTCTTATGAACTGTTCTACTATAAATTCAATTCTTTTTTTATTCTTTCAATCCTCTTTGTCTTTTTATGAACTAGTCGACTATAAATTCAATTCTTGCTTTTATTCTTTCAATCCTTTTTGTCTTCAGTGCCAGTATGCCAGAATATTTATATATGTACATATAAGTCCCTACGTCTTTATTAATTGAGTCTAAACTTAGAACTGAATACAATTGGTTTCTTAACATTAAATTAAACCTACTATCGGCCATCAGTCACGTTGCACTTGCATATGCACTATTTCCGAATATTGCCCAATCGTTGTTGTGCCAATTATTATTGCTGATCGAATAATAAATTGGTTAATGCGGTGTCAGCAATTGTGCGGATGCGCGTGTGGAGTTGCTGACCGTTGGTAGAAGTCAATTCTGCAGAGCTGTTGTAAACTGTTGCGTTAACTCTTCCCCCTTTAAATATGATCGTCCTCGATCATTAGTAGAATGGTAAGTTGTTGAGATTTACGTATGTTGGAATGTGGTTGGTTTCGCTTGACGGATTGACTTCCAGGCTTGTGCTGGGCTTCACTATTTCTTTTCCCACATATTGGATTTTCACGGATCGTTTCCTTAAGAAAAAAAGTAGAAGTACTATGATTATTAAGAATGCTGCCGTAGTTAGACTTCCGACAGAGAAGGTTGCCTTTTTGACGGAATTTATTCGATGGGTATTGTTGATATGTAGGTCCTTCAAGGCTTCTAGGGAAAGTAGTTCTATGTGGTCCTTTTCCAACGGGATTGGCTGTAGTATTGCAGGGATGGTTTCGATTGGCTTTATTTCAATATTGCTGAATGTTTGACTGTTGATTTTAATTGTTGAATTGTAGAATATTATCACGTGCGTTCCGTTTACTTCTTGGGATGTCTCGTCGGCTTCTAGTTTGCCGTTGAACTGGTTTAGCAATATTACTCCTGGTTTTATTTCTTCTAGCGTAGGGACGTGATGGCCGTTGGTTGTCGAACATGTTGAGTTTAAACTATTAATTATCCTAGTTACACATAAATCTTTACTTAAATCTACCAAATGAGTTTCCTTGCAAATGGTTACATCATTATAGCTTTCGCATTTATTTTTTATTCCAAACAGTGTATATTTTCCTTTCAATATTTCATTATACTCAGTTTTAATTACAATACTGTTTATCCTTTTTACAGGTCGTATAATAATTCTTCTAAATATTTCTTTTAATGTTAGAGGTATTTTTACCATGTATACAATTTTCATATCTTGGCTAAATACATTTACTTTTGACAGTTCTAATGCTTCTTCGGCACTTTTAAATGGTACTTCATCTTCTCTTAATTTACTAATTGACAATTCTACTTCTTCCTTGCTTAACATTACTGAATTTATTATATTATGCTTTGCCCATTGAACGGCATACCTTATATTAATTAGCTCTTCCTTAATTAGCCTGATTCTATTTTGCAAATTTATTAAAATTTCCGTTAGAACATTGTCGTCCTTCCTTATCGTGTTTCACATTTTGTTTACTATATAAGTTATGTTATTTATGCGTTTCTCGAATAACTGGTTAACTACTATTTGATTATTGTGGTTCTCATTTAAGCTATTTAAGTTGTTTGTTATTATATTTAAATCTTCATGATCAGGAGATCCGGCTAAGTACTTCCATGCCGTTCCCAATATATCAATTTGGGTGGTTTCATGTTTTACGATAGGATATAGGAAGTGGTCATTAGGTATTTGGTTGGCTATCTCGTTATAGGTCTCTGTCAAAAATCGTTCGTATTTTGCTAAGTCGATGAGATGAATAAGTCTGATATTTTCGCTTGTCCATTGTCTATTGTCACCAGTCGCGCTTTATTATAGTCCAAAATTTTAACGTCCGTTAGGGAGGTNTTATTTTCGCTTGCCCATTGTCTCTTGTCACCAGTTGCGCTTTATTATAGTCCAAAATTTTAACGTCCGTTAGGGAGGTTGTGATTGTGGCACAAATTATTATAAGTCCGAAATACGCCGCTAAGGCGTTTTTATCGAGCACTATTAGCTTTTTGCTTGAGGAATTTGTGGATACGCATCCATCTTTCCCTCTCAAAAGCGATGTCAGAGGTTTCGCTAACTTGGCGTAATCTCTGAAAAAGCGTCGATAATAGCCTGATAGACCAAGAAAAGCCCTCAAGTCCTTTAGTGTTTTTGGACATGGAAATTCTTGAATTGCTTTTACTTTAGTGGGATTAGTTTTTATGCCTGTTTGTGATACAATGAAAGCTGTCTTCTCAATGTCGGATTCCTTCAGAGGAATCTGATGGAAGCCACTCTTTAAATCAACAGAACAGAAAAATATGTGTTGTTTCCCAGTTGCGAGATCACCTCGTTGATTTCCGGGATTGGGTATTTATCGGCTATTGTTAGGGTGTTTAATTTCCTATAATCAATTACGAGTCTGTATTTTTTTTGTCCAGACGCGTCTAACTTCTTAGGTACAACGCACACGGGCGAGTTGTAGGGTGAACGGGATGGCCTAATAATTCCATCTTTTAATAGATTTTCTATTTCTTGTTTCCCAAAGTCTCTCATTGTTAGGGGGTAAGGATAATATTTGGTGTATGCTGGGGTGTCTGAAGAGGTTCTAATTTCCCCAGTAGTGGTGTAGGTAAGTTTCTCATCTGGTTCGGTAAATAGCTGCGGATATTTGTTTGTGAGACGGTCAATATGTCGTTTTTGCGTTTCTGTCATGTGGTCGGTCCTTACGTCAATTTTGTTAACCGATGGTGAAGGTTGTTGTTTAATTTTTATTTTTATGCCATTGCCAAATGTGAGGGAGTCGTCGTGGATGTTTATGGTGGCACGAAGCTCTTTAAGACTATCGTTTCCAATTATGCCGTCAAAGGATTTTAGGGTGGGGAGCAAAAAGAATTTTAAATTCGTGTCCTTTCTGCCAAATAGATTAATAACTGTGTGGTGGGTAATTTGTATCTGTCCGGCTATGGAATTAGCAAAAAATGGTTGGTCATTGGGAATTCGTTTTGACACGAGGCAGGGTTGGATGTAATTTTTGCTCGAACCGGTATCGATGAGCATTTTCAGAATTTTTCCGTTCTTCGTTCTGCACTCTACATACGGCAACGAAGAACTGTTCATTCTAAAAGATGAATATCGATATGGTCTTGAACGTCTTGTGATGGATTTTGTTCAGCGTATTCCTGAACTGATTGTCCACCTTCTTCTTTGGCAATTTCTGCTTCATACTCTTCCGCTGTTGGATACCAATCCTGTTGATCTTGCGGATAATGTTGGTCCTGTAAATAGTATTGGTATTCTTGAGTACCTGCCTCAATGTGGAAGTTCCTCTGTTGCTTCAGAGGCACTTGTTGGGAAAAGTTGGATGGTCTTTTCCCGGCCTGGTTATTAAGTGGTGGCCTATTCATGTACCGCTTTTGAATGCAAGGAGCGGTCGACATCCATTGGCTCTGGACGTGGAAGTTGCGTCTTAGCGGGGGGTTGAGCCGGAGGCCTATAATTTGGCGAATTACGGTAATTAAGAGTAGGTTGTGGGCGTTGGTGAGCCATAAAATTATGTGGAGGCACGTATGGTCTTGGAATGTACGCCAGTTGTGGGTAGAATTCATTACTTATTTTTCTGGGTGGAAGAGGTGGCCGCAGATCTTGGGTTTTCTTAACTTGGCCATTATTACTCAGCGCGTAGTTTGAACGGAAGTTTTGGTTCTCCAGTTTTAAGCATAAGTGGAGAGCCTGAGGAAGATCTACCGGTTCTCTCATGCCAAGAAGTCTCGGCAAGTCACAGTTTAGTCCTCGAATAAAGATGTCGAGGGCTTTGTCCCGGTAGGTCCGCGTAAGCAAATGCATCGATTCTGTACCTACTTCCATTGAGTTTGTTGAGAATAAGTGACAGGTGTGAATACACCCTTTGGTAAAATTCTTGAATAGTGAGGTTGCCCTGCACTAATGCGGTCATCTGGTACTCTAGAGTTCCCAAATCTCGTTTATCTGCGTAGTGGAGGGTAAGGCATCTCGAAATAGCCTTCCAATCCAGCGGTGTATTATAAGATTCGAGGGCAATATCGGCGTTGCCCACGATTTTATTTCGTATAACATTAAGGATGCCATAATATTTTGGCGTTGCTTTTTGTGGCTCGTAGATCTGCAATATTCTACCTACGCTTTTTTTCCAGGAGTTAAACTCTCCCGGATTGCCTGAGAATTCCCGTAGGCATCTCACAACGTCCGGAATTTTGTCTAGTTCCGTTATATTGTTCGCTAGGGTCGAGTCTATGGTCACGTCCGTAATATTTGTAAAATTTGCATTGGGGTTGAGGGCGGCTTGCACTAGGTTTCGTCCTTCTTGTCTTAATATATTAGTCACCACGCCAGTTATTATATTCGTTAGTTGTTCCATATTAATTTCNGTTAGTCACCACGACAGTTATTATATTCGTTAGTTCTTCCATATTAATTTCGTTAGGGTTATGGGTAACTGGTTGGGAAGGGGCTGTGGGAGTCGTATTTAGCAATGGGGGTCGGACGATGTTATTAGGATTTGCCATAACTAATTTTTATTTATTTTATTAATGTGTCCTTATCCTCTGGAGGGTCCCTTTGGTGGTGAATCGCAGAGTTGGACTGTTGTTATAAGCTGGAGGGTCCCCCCGAAGGTGGTGAATCGCAGCTTTAGATTTTTATCAGTTATTGGCTGTACAAGCCTTAGTTATTTTTTGTTTGTAGTTAAAAATTCTCTGGAGGGCCCTTGGGTGGTGAATCGCAGAGATTTTTTTTTATAAGCTGGAGGGTCCCCCCGAAGGTGGTGAATCGCAGCTATCGATTTGTATCAGTTATTGGCTGTACAAGCCTTAGTTATTTTTTGTTTGTAGTTTAACATTCTCTGGAGGGCCCTTGGGTGGTGAATCGCAGAGATTTTTTTTTATAAGCTGGAGGGTCCCCCCGAAGGTGGTGAATCGCAGCTATCGATTTGTATCAGTTATTGGCTGTACAAGCCCGATATTATTTATGGTAAGTAAACTTCAACAAAGTTTTAATCTGAAATTAATTGATTGCAGTTCGAAAATTTTCTCCTTTTCCTTTTTCACTTCTCACTCTTATATTATAAAATTTTCTTTGAATATTTTCATGTGTAGATTGCGAGAAAAAAAAAATTCTTCAAATATCTTGTTAAATTTCTCTTTTCTCTTTAAAATTTACTTAAACTATTTTCGTTTGCAAAAGTTTATGATTTTATTAGTTTTCTTTTTTCAAATTCCTTAAAATTTTTTTCCAATACTTAATTACTAATCAACTTGTTTTAATTCTCACTTCCTAGCACCTCCTGGCGACGGGGTAGATGTCCTTTTCACTGCTCTACTCGGGTACCCTCGATGCGCACGAATGAAAGTGTGCGTTACTATCCTACCGGATTCCAACGCTGATATGTGGTTTGACACCAGTTAAGTTGCTTGTCCTTTTAACAGTCCTTCGGCTGTTGTTGACAGGCGACTTGTCCGTTTATTTTCACGTGTTTCCCGCACGGCAACACTCGCGATTTTACCGCGACGCGGTGGCACTCGGCTGTCCTTACAGGCGACTTTTGCCAATAATGTACTTAAACCGACACGCGAACTTAAACTGGTCCCTGCTCGGGCGCCAGTTAAGTTATTTTATTAAATAACGCATTTTTAATAAAGTGTGGGGACTCGCGTCCCCACGTCTTTATTAATTGAGTCTAAACTTAGAACTGAATACAATTGGTTTCTTAACATTAAATTAAACCTACTATCGGCCATCAGTCACGTTGCACTTGCATATGCACTATTTCCGAATATTGCCCAATCGTTGTTGTGCCAATTATTATTGCTGATCGAATAACAAATTGGTTAATGCGGTGTCAGCAATTGAGCGGATGCGCGTGTGGAGTTGCTGACCGTTGGTAGAAGTCAATTCTGCAGAGCTGTTGTAAACTGTTGCGTTAACTTATATAAGAGATCACTTGGTTATTTTATTATGGTATTACGGGGGCACCGAAATTGCGCATATGGAAACTGTGCATTTAGACATTATTTCGGTTTCAACCGAAACTGTGCATGTATGCTTTATTTCGGTTTTTACCATATGCATTATTTCGGTTTTAAACCGAAACTGTGCATGTATGCATTACTTCGTTTTTTT